TTGAGGACACCAGAACTGCACACGATACTCCAAGTGAGGTCTCATGAGAGCAGAGTAGAGGGGCAGGATCACCTCCTTCAACCTACTGGTCACACTCCTTTTGATGCAGCCCATAAACTACTTAGTTTTGCTATTTAGGTCTGTGAAGCACAACTATGGTAAAAGCAGCTGCTTTTGTCATTACATGTGTAAATGCTACTTCTGTAATTCACGCCAGTTGTTATGTTTGGTATTCCAAGGATTTTGATGTTGGTCAAGTCTACAAAAAGAAGATAGTCTTGATAAATGCATCCTACAGTGTTAATTGCTGCAGACTAGTGGGAATCAGTGAATGGCTCAAGGACTTCATCAGTGTTCAGTAAGTAAAATTAACTGTTGCTTGTTTTACCTTTGTACCACAGCAGGAGATGTAACCAAATTCTGTAGCAAGTGAAACATTTCAGTAAATACATCTAAATTGCTATATTCTGTTCCTGTGTGATGAGGAAAAGAACTGCGTCTCAGAGCTGAGAAGCAAGAGGTTTACAGAGCCTGGGCTGCAGGTCATTGGTGGTAGCAAGGGAACAGTCCCTGACCTATGGAAAGCAGCGTACACCTGTGGTGGTTGCCAGCCTCAACAAGTAGAGAGCTGTTTTCACAAAAGTCAGACCATTTTAAAAAAGGGGAAAGGGCTTCAGTTGGTACAAAGAGGTAAAAGGGGACCCAAGTTTCTTTCTAGGGAAAAGCAAATCTTTCACAAGCCACCATCCTTCACAGCATGATTCTGACTCAGTGTCCTGATAGGCATTTTACTTGTATCACAGAGTCGATGGAATGAGGCACTGAAACGAATGTCAGTTTCCATTCAAGATGACCTTGATGCAGTTTGCAGCAAGCAGCACATTCTCTTAATCGTTTGCAGCTACCTGCTTGGGTTCCCCCCCCCCCCCGCCTTCATGTTCTCTTTGGACAGGGGAGATGTTACAGAGCAACACGCAAAATGGGTAGTGGCAGAAGACTGCTTCCTAGTTGTTCAAATAGGTGTTGATGATATTACTGAGCCCCAGCTTCACCTGTTTAGCTAGAGTCTCTTCGTCTGTAGCAGGAAGGCAGTAATTTTTGCCTTTTAAAAGTGCTTTAAGACTTTCCGAGTAGAAGCCTCAGTGAAGAATCAGCCTTTGCAGTTTTACAGTTGCAGCAGGGTTCTGTAGTTCACCATTAATCTGTCACTCATTCTGACTTTTCTATGTAATTAATGCAAATGGGGGGAAAAAATAATAATCTGCCATTGTTCCCAGAATAGGAGCCGAATGTTTCATACATAGCTCTAATTTGAAGTTTTATGTTAATTATCTCTATAGTTTTGACCCACCTGGAAAAATGTCTCCGGGAATGTCGTGTGAGGTAGTGGTAACATTCAAGCCAATGGTGAGTGCACCTAAGTGCTAAGTTACACAGCAATGAGAATCCTACTATAGTCCACTGGTCTGATTAAAAACATTGTTAATTTAACTGTTAACAAGGAAACAAAATGCCTTGCTAGAAAAGGTGGTCCTTGGACAACTGCATGCATGTTGGAGCTCTGTTGAATTGTTAATAAGGCATTTTCTAAGGGCATGTTTTAGAAAAGTGCCTTTCAGTTAAGTGTTCCTGGAGTATGTTTTGAAACTTGCTGAAGATCAAAAGATTTGTATCCCATGGCTAAAGCTACCGGAGACTTTAAAGTGGAAATGTAGAATCTGTACAGATACATTTAAAAATATTTAAGAATGAATAAAAATATTTTTCATCAGAATACACAGGCTAAATCTCTGCAAAATACTTGGTTGGGATTTTGTTGTTGTTTCCTAGATAAACGAAACTCTGGAAGGAGAAGTCTTGTTTATGGCACAGACAGGTTCTTTCGCTGTCCCACTGAAATGTACAGCCAAAAGATGCATTGTAAGTGACTGTTGAAAATTGATAACACAATGTTATGTTGTGAATGGAGGGAAGAGAAATAGTGGCTGGAAATGAGAGGTTTTTTTCCTTGGATATTTTGGGAATTCCATCCCAGACCTGCAGTACTTTAACTTCAATATCCTATGTAGACAAAAATCACACAGTATCTTTCTATCTTTTCTAACATTTATAAAAAGCATATAAGACCTCCTTTCTTTCAGCATCTCAATCTTCTGAGAGTATGATAATGAATTTTAGGTAAGGAACATAATATTCTTACTGCTAAGAGATGGACCTACAGATAGCACTAACCTTTTTTAGCGACCGACCTTCTGGTACAAACTAATATGTAGTCACTGTATAATGTTAAATGCTGCTTGCATCCCAGCTTGGTACTAGTAGAACCATTTTTCTTTAACACAAGAGTAACAATGTTGAATTGGAATGTAAATATGACCTACTTCCAGAGTGACTACCTGAAGACTTAGGCAAGCTGCTACTATGAACAGAATTTAACCTGTTTTTTCCATTGTCATACACTGGACTGAAATGGAAGTGGCTCAGTTTAACGGGAGGTTGTAATGAACTGGCTTCTACAAAAAGGCAGGAGGATACCCACGATTCATGTTGTTGTTTGATACCCTCTTTGAAATAAGAACTTTGAAGTCTTATTCTTGAAAAGGTGGATGCTCATTTAATGGACATTGCTGACTATCTAGGCCAGTAGTAATTAATGGTTTATCTTACCACAGCTGGCACTAGATAAAGAGCTCATTGACTTTGGTAGCCATGTGGTGGGAGAGACAATTTCACAGACCATCAGCCTGACAAACAGTGGAGCTTTGGGAACGAGATTCAGAGTTCGAACATCAGCAGGTGATAGACATACAGAAAGACCATCAGCAGAATCGGCTCATGGAAGAATGGTAGGTTCAAAAGCATTTCCCTAAATTAATAGAAAAATTCCCCTCTCTATTGATGGCTGTTACCTGAAAACAATAACAATAAATAATGTTAAAAGAATTAAATTAAGAGCTCTCAAGCCAATAGTGGAATGAATGCAAATGACTGTAATATCGTGTCTTGTGGAACATCCTGTGTGGGGATGAAGCAGAGACTGTTGAAGAAACGTACTAAAACTCAGACATTTGGTGCACAGCTGACAAAATGTGTGGTATTAGACCTGCTATTTATTGTTCCTACAGCACATCAGTTCCAAACTTGACAAGAAACTGAGGAATCCTAAAGCTGTACTCCTCCATCTAGCAGATAATTTTAGGTGAAAAGCACCAAAAAGAAAAAAATCCAAACAAAGCCGACTACCCACACACTGTGGTAGGAGCTCATGCCTTGCAATTCCTGTGTTAATGACTATCATGGTCATGAATGTTCCTTTTTCCTCAAGTGTCTCATAGGTAGTACCCATAAATAGGTTTCACAGGCCCTTGACTGGGGACAAGATCACTACTAGGTTACATGTTGTTGTTATGAGGTGCTTATGTGTTCTTGTAAACGCAATGCACACACTTCATCTTTGTTCCATCAGTGCAGCCTAATTGCTTTGGTTTTTGAAGAGCAAGTGGTTCAGATAGTTTTCAAAATTCTCTGCTTGATAATCTAACCGATTTTTAAGTTCTAAGGAAAGAGTTGACCTCTGGAAGCACTATCTTGAATAATATGTACAGTGAAACTGTGGAGTTGCTCACCATGGTGTTCGACTCTCATGCTACCCTTAAAAGCATGGCTCAAATAAAGAATTTGTGAAAGTAAATACTGTATCCATGGTTCTCCTTCTGTATTCTATCTCTTGCAGGTATGTAATAAACAGAAATATAGGTTTAGCGGTCTTAGTTTTGACATAGAGCTGCCTGTGTTTCAACAAGAAAAATCTTGATTCTGTTAATTGTGAATTAACCGACACCATATTGTATGGTTCCCATTATATCATTTACCTTTTTAGGGCAGCCAGCAAAAATTAAATCTGCTTATTGATAGAGGTCTAGCAGAATGTGCAGTTTTCAGAAAGTGCAACACATTTCTCCATTTATAATGTGGAACAGTTGCAAGAAAACACAAGTCTGATTTGCAGCTGCCTGATAAAATTGGGGCTTTTGCAAGCTAGGTGAGTAGTCACAGTAGAAAATATGTTTTCTGTATTTTCTAATAGGTTACTCAAAATCTCAGTGACTGTGTCCCTGAAAAGGAAGTCAGCAACAGTCCTGTGAATTCTGTGACTGAAGTGAAGGAACAAATTGGTTCTAACCATAGTGAAGAAATGTCCTACTGTGCAGCCCAGGTGGAGTCACAGAGGACTGAGACCAGCCTGAGCAGGAGCTCCACAGGTAAGATCGCTGGTCTAGAAAGTTGGCAGTGCAGTTCCTCGGTAAAGCGTTATCCCTTTGTAGAGTTTCCTGTAAAGAACTGTGGAATTCAGTTTGCAGAGTTACTCAGTAAATTAAGTAGTTCATCGTTCTAATAGTAATGTTATCTTTCTTTGTATGCTGCCTCACAAAAAAAACGACTAAAAATAAAATACTGACACCATTATATCAAAAGCAGTAGTGACTCTCGCTTCTCATTAGTGATCTGTAATTCAGTCTTAGAAGAATACAGAAACCAACTAACTTACAGAAAATGCAAAATTGTTATCATCATTCTTGTCTCAGCAACTGAATACTCACTGCTCAGAATAGAAATCCACATGACAGGTTTATTTTTATAGTCTGTAATTCTGGGAACACGGAAGCAGAAAGATGAACCTCCGCAGACGTTTTCCATATCATTCCTGATGTTTACTAGGGGCTTAATGAAATCCAGTGTGTAGAAGAGACTTTCCTAATTTCTTTATATCTGTATTCTTTAACATTTCTTCTGGATATTGATCATTCCAACTTTAGGAAACTAAGAAGTTCCATGAAAAAGTTGCATGTGTTTTTTGATTTTTAAATCTGGGATCTGTATTGTGAAATGGAGTGATTCCATAAGTCATGGTGGCTGTCCCCGCAGAGCACATACCTTTAGAGATGTTTTCAGACCTTAAAACCAAATGTATATTCCATGGCTGTGGCATGTGAATGTACCTCATGACACCTTGATCTTTTTCCTGGTTAATGTGAAGCAGGTGGTTGCCAGTTGGTTACAGCCATGCAGTCCAGAATTAGCTTTGTCTCTCTCAAGATGCATCAGTTTAAGGCACTTTGAAGCTTCAGTGGGAGACTGTTTAATTAGAAGCAGTTTTGAAGATCAAGTGAAGCAACACTTCCACCTGCTTTGCAGGTCCTCCTGTCTGCATTGCCTCGTCCCACTGAAATTGTTCTCAAAGCCTAGTTCATGCTTTCAACTGAGTTTTCATTCCTTGATGTAACAATCTTCAGTATAAACTTCAGCCTACTGAAACATTAATCCTGTTACTCTGCAGTGGAAGGCTCAAGGGCCTAAGATAGACCTTCTGGACTAGGGCAAAGAGGACCAAACAGATTTCCTTCTGGACACTTATTTCTCCATCACTAGTAAGCATTGTTGGATTTGCAGTATTGACCAAAATTGATGTACTTCTGCTCTGATATTTTCTAGTGAAAAAAATCACATATCCAGCATTGTGTTGGGTCTATATGTGGGTTGTTCTTTTTTCCCTAGAACATCTTGGTCAAGATACGTTGAATTCCAGATCAGATCTAGACACAGACACTGCACATAATTTAGTGGAATTTTCTCCTGAAGAAACACCAGTTGAAATTATGCTTGGAAAGGTAATGAATATCCTGAGCTACAGACAGGACTTTCACTAGTCTAAGTCTACATCAAATAAATTGCTTTGGCTTTGGTGGGAAACGCTAAAGTGCAGAGAATCATAGAATCCATTTCTAGCCTGTTGGACTTCACTGTATCACAACTCTTGAAATGAAATCACGTGACACATTTGCTCTTTCATTTGATCTATAAAGACTTAATTTGAGTTGGAAGATTCTGTATACAGTAATAGTGTGTTGAGTCTAGTTACAAACTAGGTATAGTAGACTGTATAATGAGTATATATTGCTGCTTTATTTCAATACAAGTTATAGCCAGCTGCAGTAATGCAGCGATTTTCATTACAGACATATTACTTCTTGTTTAGGTTACTGAAGGTGAAATTGGGCCCTTCAGCTCAGTCAAACTTCAGATCCTATTTGTGCCAGCTATCCCTGGGGATGTGCGGACAGAGTTTGTGATTGTGTTTGACAACTCGGACTGCAAACCAGTGAGTGATTTTGTGCAAGACTTGCTTCAAAACACCATATAAAAGAGTTTTAAATTCTCCTACTTCTGCTTTCCCCAGGAATTAAAAGAGCTCAGAGTCCTACATTAGAAACAGGAGAAGGAGGGGGAGAGGACAGATCTATCAATGGGTATTATAAGAAATAACAAGGCAGCGCCATGTGATTCTGTATTATGTGGTTTGATGGGAAGTAACTTTGTAAATCATGGTCCTTCTTTCTGATGCAGTGTGGTTATTAAACCTGTGATTCTCTTAAATGTAAATAATCACACTATTCCTATTTTAGCAGACATCATACTGGGAAACATCTAATGCCTTGGAAACAGATACAAAAGTATTCTTCTCTACTCCCAGCCCACATAGTTTATTTTTTTTCTGAGCTATCAGAATTGGAATTATTTAGCATGCAGTAGTGAAACTGATGTGTGAAAGCTGGAAGAGATGACAACTTCAGTTACCACTTCAGCTATATTTTGATTTTACACTTTATTGGAAGCCAAATTCTGCCTGAGAACAGTTCACAGAAACTTTCCAAAAAAAAACCCCAAAACCTCCCAAGCAGCTCAGTAAGCCAGTCTTTGCTCTGCAGGTGGAGTCATCTACAGAAGGAGCTGCAGACGTGTACTGAAGGATCATCTAATCCAAGCCTGAGCCCTGTAATCAGTGCTGTCAGACCTGAGGTGGTTGTAGGAAGTACAGCACTGTGCTGCCATCACTATGTTTCCTTGCTGGCTAAACAAGCTGCAGTCTCTTGAGTTTCTGCATTATGGCACGTTCACATAAGCTAGATGCACTTTAAATATTTCTTTTTGGTATCATGGGCAGTGTGCTATTCCTTCATGTTCTCTGTCAAAGAGCCCAAACCAAAGTATAATTCTTTTTCTGCTGTGACACCATAACATCTAGGGTTTATCTTACAGATGATTTTCATAGCTTTGCTTAATTAAAGAACCTGTTGCAGTATGACTAATAAAATATTTTACTCAGCTGTAGTTTACAGCAGAAATTCTTGCTCTGTCTAGATCTGTAAGAATTTGAGACCAATAAAACTAATAATTTATGTATTAACAGCTGTGTTTCAGTGCCGTTGGAGTTTCTATGGATATGCCAGTTTGGGTGCCCAATCCCAACATTGATTTAAAAATCTGTATGTATGACCGAGTCTATCAGGATTGCATTGTCATTCAAAGCAGGTGAGTGACCCTTTTGTTATCAGCTGCCTGATATAGTAGCTGAGTAATGAGATCTTAAGTCTTAGGTGATGCCTTGAGGTTCCATTATGCCAGGCATGTCTTCTTGTCATAGGAAGCTAAAGAACAGTTTTGGTTTTCCATGGCATTTCAGGAGGACATCCTGATTGCAACCCCCTGCGTTCCACACTGCTGTGGAAATTGGACTTAGATATCTAACTATCCCAGATTCCCAGACCAGCAGTAGCTAGGAAGCATTTGAGTTAATATGTGCCTTTCCACTCCTACAAGACACCCTGTCTGTTCTGTGGAATAATTATAAGGCTCCCAGGGAATCGTCACCCCAGAGTATGATTGTGTGGAATTTGCACACTAAATATCAGGGAGATAAATGTGTCTGAACTTAAGTGCATATTGGGTATAATCAATTAAATCAAAGAACTTTATAAAGGATATTTTGTTATTTCTCATCTCTTTTAATTAAAATCCATAGAAGATTATGATCTGGAAAGCCAGGCTCATGCCAATTATTTATTGAGAAGGTCCATCGCCAGTCTTTCCAGACTTGGGAAATGATGCCAGATAAATCATGTTAGTCCTTTTGCATCTGCTATAACATGGGCAGGGTAAAATTTCTCCTTACCCATATAGGCCTTAAGCACTGCACTGGAGTGACGCAAACCTTGGAAGTACACATAGAGTAGTCAAATGGCAATTTAAGGGGGAAGAAGTACCTGGGTGTTTCTGTAGTCCAAATCAGTAATGGCTGGAGACTTCTGTTTGCACTGTAACATAAAAAAGAATATTTTGGTTTATTGTCTCCAAGAGCTTTCACGCTATGAGAGTGTGTTTAAATGAACTTTTATTTGTCTTCAGGTGCTTCAGGTTTCTTTTCTCTACCTAATGCAGTCACTACTGCATGCTTCTTTTAACAATTTGCACTTCTTGGATTCTATTTAAATAGGATTAGGGTGAGTTTGTAGGAGGGTGGGGGAGAGAGTGGTTCTGTAGAAGGCATCCATTCTAAACCACTTAGCAGAATTACAGGCTGCAGAGATTCTTCACAGTTGGAAAGCATTGAATAAAGCTGTTATCTCAGAAATTCAGCTTACAGATATGACAAGCTCAAGTTGTTATGCAAGTGGTTTTATTTGGTCTAGATAACCCAGGCATAAAACTGGGAAGTATAGCAGCAGAATAACTCTTTTAATGAAAACTTAAGATTTCAAGGGATCCCAAAGATAGAAGCTGTCAAATTGCTCAGGGCAAAATTCTTAGCAGGGGAGAAAATCCTGCTAATCCTTTGCCAAGTTTCACTAATTTAAGAGCACTTAATATGTGGTATGTGCCTTAGTACCTTAGCAAAATCAAGTCTTTGATTTATCTCCCAGTTCTCCATAGCTAGAAGAAATTGTCACTGTTATACACTTGTTTGGGCTGAAATTCAAAGTATTTCATGTGCCGGAATATCCTGTCTCAACTTTTTATTCTGCAAAAGTAGATAATATCCTCATTCAGATGTGGTACCTGAGAAGCTTCTTCCTCTAGTAGCTATTGACATTTTTCTATAGCATGTACCAGAGGATTTCTCATTGTACATGGTACGTGTCAAACCACTTCTCAAACAGAATGAATTTCAGCTGTTGAAAATAGGTAGAAATTACTATCAGTCAAGAATAATTTCTTAGGTTGTACTAGTAAGTAGCTGTATTTTAATTGCAACAGTGAAAAACTGGGAAAGGTGGTCTGGGGAAGGTCTGTGACCTGGAACTGTGCTCAGACAAAGGATCCAGAGCCAAGGACAATAACCAGGCTAGCAAAGAAGCTGTCAGCATACCACCAAAGAGAATAATTTGTTACAACAGCTTTACATGTGAAAGGTGTATCCACTATAGAGTTACTACGGTGCTGTCTGTGTTAATGCTTGGAGCAACCATTCACTGAAGAAGAGCAAAGGTACCACAGCCCAGCTGGAAAGGCAGCTTGTCTGACAACTGCTGGAAGCCTTAGCTAAGGAGTCTGAAGTTGAGATCCAGTAGATGTGAAATCTTATTTGCATAACTTCTAGAACAGACGTTCTTTAATTAAATGTTAATTACATACTTAAATACTCCTGCTATTCAGGAATATTCTTACAAATTTCTGCTCCAATCCCTAACCAGTTATAGCAATAAAAAGCCAAAACAAACCACTGAGAGAATTCTTTAGATAGTCAGGGCAAAATGTGACCCAGACCTGAGAAAGGTCATGTGTTTGAATAGTCTTTTGTTCACCACCAGCACACACAAACCATCTGCCAAAAGCAGAGCAGAAAGAACTTGCCTGTATCTTCTTGCTGCTGAGATCTATAACACTGTAGTCTACAGCAGATGTAGAACAACAAGTTTTCAGGTTAGATAGCTCTGGCATGTAAGTGCCCAGCAAGACCTGTGAGATTGCAAAATGTAAGTTAATACTGCTTGTGTTTTAGGGGTTGGTTTTTATTTTCTGGTCACATTGGTAACCAGGCAGTATAAAGGATGAAAAATCTCTTACCAGAATCCTGTCCAATACAAATCACTTTTCAAAGTATTTTCTTTGGCAGGTTATAATCTGCATTGCTTTAATGAAGTAGTATATACTTCATTATATACTTATGACAATCTTAAATTGTCAGCAGTCAGAAATCATTCCTGGCTCCCAGTACCACATGCTATAGCTGTTGATTTAGAGCAGACCATCTGGACTGACAGCTTGTAAACCAGTCCAGGAGAAGGAAAATGACAAGCTGAAATATTTGTAA